GCTGAGAATACTATTTGACAAATTAATTGGTCAGCAAATCTGAGGTTCATACAGACTTCTTTCCATCCCAAACTGAAGTAATAGTTCCTTTTTCATTTTCTCAGCTGACAGACCAACCATTTATGAACTTTCTCAAAGTAGGTCTGTTTAACAAAATCCATCTTCTTAACCTACTGCTTTACATTCAACACTGGACTCTGCATGTATCTTGATTTTATTTGCTTCAAGTCATTTAACAATATAGTTTTCTGCTTTTTAATGTCTTTCTTTCTGTTCATTGTCAAGAAATACAAAGTCGTATCACAAAGACACTACCAAATTCCCATACTATGAATAGAAGAAACAGCAGGAGTTGAATTAGTTTGGAAGGAGCTCTTTAACTCAGAATCAATCGCCCTTGATATACTATCTTGAAGTTACAACAGGCTATTCAGTCTCCCATCATTCTGACCTGGAGATTCTTGGTTATATTTTTGTAATTATTATATTATGGTCTGCCTTTAGTTTTCACTTCTGTAAGTTTAGGCAATAATAAACTAGATGACAGTGCATGTCTAATATTGAATATGTTTCATACACAATAGAAAACCTCTTGTAAAATCTCGTATCTCTAAGCTATATTCCAATGTCTAATGTTACTGCAATTTCTACTTGTTCTAATCTCTCTTGTTATATCTTCAAAATGTAAAGGGATATCCTGCCCTTTTAGTTGCAGTACTGAATCCTTTATTAAATATGTGCATATTAATTCATGGTTTTATATTATATAATCTATATATTTCAATTATTACTTATAATATTATCAAAATATTATTTATAATATTCTCTAATTCTCAGTAGATTACAACCTACTGGGGATTGATGACCAAATTCCGGATTGCATGAATACAGAAGAAAGATTTGCTATCAGAACCTGTTCCTGGCCTACCTCCACAGGCTATTGTCTAGATCAGGGGTGTCAAACTGCCGGCCCGTAAGCCGGTTGCATCATGCGGAGGCCACGCCCACCCCAGCTCTGGCAATACAAAAAAAGTTGCGATGTCACAACACATCATGTGACGTGGCGAGTTTGACATCTGTGGTCTAGATGGAATGGGAATGTGGGTTGAAAAGGTTTTCATTATGCATGCTTTAGATCATACATGTCAAACACAAGGCCTGTGGGCCAGATCTGGTCCATGACGTGGTTATATCTGGCCCACAGGGCTGCCCTGAAACAGCATGGGGCTGGACCTTGCTGCCTCAGTTCCCCCTGCAGGCGGCGAGCACATAGGAGCTGGCAATGCGTGGCAGCAGCTAAAGCTCGTTCTCCTAGTCCTGCTGTGCCTGGCCTTGCCCCACCTCGTTCAGCCCCCTTGTTCACCCTTCGTTGCTACCGCATCTGGCCTCCTCTCTGCTCGAGCCATGGTGTTCCGTGGGGCATAGCCATCGTTGTCCATAGGTGTCTCATTTCACCCTGTGCTGTCTCCCCATCTGCTATGAGTGCTGCATTCCTCTCTCTGGCCCTGCCACATGGTGGAGAGGGTGACCTGGACGCTCAGCATGTGCAGCCCTGTGCTCTTGTCTCCCCATCCATGAGTGCCATGTTCCCTTCTCCAGCCCTGCCAAGCAGCAGAGGGCAACCCGGAGTTGGCCCCCATCGACGCTTAGCTTGTAACACCCAGCACTCCCGTCTGCCTGCCTTTTGTCCCACGGGCCAGGTCCTGTCTGCACTACCTTTCGATCTCGCGTCTAGGGTACCAGCAAGGCTCCTTTAGTGGATGAGGCTTTGGCGTTTGCTTTGGTCTCATTGTTGTTCGTCCATCGATTTCGATGAAGACCTTGACATCTTATGGATTATGGGCCATCAGCGGTGTGTCCGTAGATGGCTGATGAGACCGATGTTAGCACGGAATGTTCTGCCACATACTGAACAGAGAAATGTGGACACTATTGCTTCAGCATTTGCAGCTCTGGCTTTACGGAGTGCTCGCTTCTCTTGTGCCA